ACTGCGAGTGGCTGGCAACCGGTTTAGGGTGTCCCCCGCCTACTGCCCGAAGACAGCTGGCATAGGCTCCAGCACCCCCCGCGACCCTAGTGAGGATAGAGCGGTTCGGAAAATGAATGAATGTTGTGTTTATATGTTCAATAAATCAATCAATCTTTCTCACACAGCTGATCATCAATGTTAAATGACATCATAAATGTGCTGAGCCACCGTGTTTGCACAAAAGGCTGATGTTGCTTATCTGCTCTTTCTTTTCTGGACAGACTATACTGTATTTGCAGCTTGTCATTACAGAAGATCGTAGAAAGTGTTCTGTCAGTCGTCATCTGTACCTGTGGGTAAAAAACAAAAAAGGACGTTTCGCTTCTCTCACAGAAGAGACTGAGAGCCTCCACAAGCAGCTTGTCATTACATTTATTTATTTATTTATTTATATATTTTTAACAAGCTTGCCTTCTGTGAATGGCCTTACAGCCTTAGTAATTGTCTCACTAACTACACAGCTAGCATCATGAGCAGCATTATTCTCTTTGCTTTCTTGAAAAAAAAAGTTTCCCCAATGCTTAAGATGAGCAAGTTGGTTCAACTTCTCATCTCCCGTTTTTTTGTGTCCTACTCAGCATGTCTTGTTGAGTCATGACGTTTGAGGGTTTATTCCTTGCACACTGCAACTTTTTGTGTCCAGATAAGAAACAACGGAGTGCTCATATGCTCAACAAAGAAATATTGCATCACCCACTTTTCCTGAAATTGTCTGTGCTCATTCCAAACCTTTCTTTTCACTGCATGCTTCAAACACATCATTTTAAGATTTCCTGACAGCTGGTGGCACTCTCACAAGTGTTTCGCTAACCAGAGACAAGCGGAGAACGTCAATTCAGCAATGTACGTCATTTCTGCTGTTAGTTCTTATAAAAATACTGCGGAGGAAAATAAACAGCTGAGTAGCAATATTTAAATTTTTTGGTATATCATGACATTTGTATATGGTAGAAAACACTGGGATAGCGAACAAAACAAAAGGCAACTGCACTGATCATTGTACACCAAGATTGTAGGATACCGTGATATTAAATGGGCTGTCACTTATATAGCACTTTCTACATCTGGTACTCAAAGCACTTTACACCATTACCTCATTCACCTTCTGATGACAGAGCATCAGGAGAAACTGGCAGTTCAGTACATTACCTAAGGACACTTCTTCATGGCCGGGGATCGAACCACCAACCTCTGGGTTGGGAAACGACCGCTCTACCATTGAGCCATGCCGCCTGAATTAGATTTATAAGTATGTCATGGCCGACACAGATGTTCCATTGACTACATAACCGAATCGGGTAGAGGCTCCAGGCTAGACGTGAGCAGGCTGAGTAGCCCATTCAGAGGTCTTTGCTCTCTGTGACACAGTTAACAAAACATGGATGTTAGTTGTCAATTTGTAGATTGACCATGATGCTAACAAAAGCATCTGTTCGGGTACTGGCGATCATATCGCCGTCAACTTTCAAAGAAATAAGCCCTTTTCAGCCAGTGGAAAACAAAAGTATATCATCTTTTAAGTTGGAATGGCTGTCGGAGTATGTGCAAGCGGTGAAACTGGGTGAGATCTTTTTTTTTTCGAGTGAGAAAAGTCAGCTGTGCAAAACATGCAGCGAAGCTAAAGTTATAAGCGAATTTTCCGATGGAAAAATATGGACTCAGTGGAAGCTGGACTACCTCAAGCGACACATTCAGCAGAAAAGTTATTTGAATGCTATTGGAATTATACGAAGACTCAAGATGGGATTGGTACATTATTGCGGAAGAGCGCAAATGACGGGGAGAAAAAGAACATGCCGTCAAACAGAAAAAATTTGACCATGAGCAAGTTAAACTTCTCATTGACAATATTTTATTTGCCATTAAAGTGAATGCATCAGTTGCTGTTGGAATTCGATTCTTTTAATAAGCCATGAATTTCCTATGATCCCAGGTGTGATACTGCTGTGTGGCCACTTCTGATGTTGCTCACACTGGTCCTCGGTGAGCTCAGGGAGGATGTCTGTTTGCCCAGACACATGATAAATTAAAGGGAACATTGCCTGATATTTTGTGACCGCTGAGTTGAGTCGTCATCACGCTCATGGAGTCATTTTACTGGTTGACCACTTCTGGGAATGTGTGAGACTGTTCCAGTTTTCTCCATTTGTGGCTCGTGGCTGTGACAGTGGTTCACTGGAGCCCCAAAGTCTTGGAAATGGCTTTGTAACCTTTTCCAGACTGATAGATTTCAATAACTTTTTTTTTTGGAATTTATTTGGATCTTGGCATGATGCGTTTGTTTCTTGAGATCTTGGAGCCTACTTCACTTTGCCTGACAGATTCTATTTATGTGATTTCTTGATTCAATAAATGTGGTGGCAATCCGGTTTGGGTGTGGTCTGTGAAATTGAACTCAGCTTTCCCAAAACTGTCGTTAGTCACAGTTACTTTGTCATTTAACTGGAGATTATTATTGCAATTATTGTTTCACAGAGAGCCAGATAGGTTTGAATATTTATCCCCCCTTGGTAAATTCTCCCAGAAATGTTGTTTCAGTTACTCTTGCTATTTCAGTTGAATTGACGCTAATTTTGACTTACTGTTTAATTTGTCTGGTCTCAAAGATTATATGCTTGGTTTTGTTTAAATTCAAAAAAAATCTATTAGTGCCAAATCAGTTTTTTAATATATTTAATTGTTCTTCCACAATATTCAGAAGCTGCTCAAGGTTCAAGGGAGCAATTCAAAGTTGAGTCATCAGCAAACATTTTTAAAAAACTTTAGGGACGGAGCAAATGTCAATGATATAGAGTATAAATAGTTTAGGATCAAGCACAGACCCTTGGGGGACTCCACGAGTTATCTTCAATTCATTTGATTTTAAATTGTTAAACTGTACATCCTAATACGTGTCCTCTAGATCTAGAGAACCATTTATGTGCCAAACCTTTTATACCATAGCTCTCTAATTTTCCCTTTATTATATTGTGATCTATCAAGGGGTTCGGTAGCCCATACTCCCGAAGCACCTCCCACAGAACTCCCCGAGGGACGAACGCCTTCTCCAAGTCCACAAATCACATGTAGACTGGGTGTTTGGGTACATATCTGCCGCAAGGTAGATTTAAAGCATGTGTATGTTTGTGTGACCTTTTTGATGTCCCTCTGTTGACCCTTTAAACTGCACTTGCTCTAGCTGGTCATATTTGCTGTGTGGCGAAATGAGGAATTTTCATGTATGTGTATTTGGGTACCAGCATGTTTAAAATATGTAAACACTATTTATACTTTACATATTTGAGACAAAGATTACAACAGTACACATATTTACTTAAATCTTTAATTATAAAGCCTTATACCACAGGTGTAAACTCAAGGCCCGGGGGCCAAATCTGGCCCGCCAGGTCATTTTATGTGGCCCGCAAAAGCAAATCATGTGTGTCAACTTGCTAAAATCTGTACCGAAATGTCACATTGTCATGTGTAATAAATCACGTTGAGATTGTTGCAATAATTTTTCTATCCTGTTTACACTCACTTGAACAATAATTGAACAAACTATTAGAATTGACTTGACTGTTTTCAAAACTAGTAATCTATTAATTTGTTGTGTACAAGTAATAATTTTGTGGTTTCACTGTCATAACGGCCCTGTGAGGGAAGATGTAACTCCAAATTGGCCCGCGACTAAAATGAGTTTGACACCCCTGCCTTATACATTGGTACCTCTACTTTCGAACGTCTCTTCATATGAAATGTTCAAGTTAGGAAACGCCTCAACAGGAAAATATTGCCTCTTGTTACGAAACAAATTACAAGATACAAAAGGTAATACAGTATGGGCTGCTACTCACAGCTCCGAGTTTCCCGAGCGCATCATACTTATAGCTGTTTTGCCATTGGCTATTACCGAGCATCTTCCTGGCATCCCATTGGCTCAAAGGGACCTGTACCGTGCGTGTCTATGTGTGTAGAATAGATAGAGAGATATGTGTCAATGCAGCGTCCTCGTCATTCGTTCCTCGGGCCATGAGGCTTACCGATAGTTTTACGTAAATGTGAATTACCCAGGAAAAGTCTTCACCAGTCCGGCGATCCCTCACTATGCTGATGTTTTCCTTGGACATTGTCAAAGAATTGTTAAATGCCGAAAAAAGCAAACGTCTTTGGACCTGTTCTTTACAAAACGACATGCAAAAACCACTTCTGAGAGACAACATGAACTAAAGCGGGCAAAAACCAGGAGGAAACAGTTAAAAGTTAAATGACCATCTTTATTCTTTACTTCATTCTTTGTTTTTTACATGATGCACAACTCTCATTTATTGTGCAATAATCTAATTGTAACGTGTATTTATTACATATTTTGATACATTTTTATGCTTTAGAAAACATTTATGTCTGAATTTGGGGGGGAGCGCGGACGGTTGAAATGGATTCGGGCATTTACATGCAAAACACGTCTCTACTTACAAAATTTTCTAGTCAAGAGATATCTTCCAGAACCAATTAATTTCGTAAGTAGAGGTACCACTGTACAGTAATCAATATTCATCAACATTGCCTTTTGAGAGAGGCAAAGAGTCTTGTGTTGGTGGTGTAGAAGGTGGTTCTCACTTGACTTTTACAGGCTTTAGGTTCCCTCGATATTCTTCTGCAAAAAGTGCTGATGGTGTAACTGGGGTTTTTAAATTGGAGAAAAACATGGTGATGGGTAGTGCTATGACGTTCATCTTGTCTTCTTATTAGTTGAAATAGGTTTAAGATCTAGTCTAGGAGTAGAAATTTTTTCTTGAATGGTGGTTGAGAACAAGCTGACAAAATTTGAGCCTACATTTGGAAAGCAGCCTCATCCTGGCTCGATTGTCAGCATCCTCCATGTAAAAAAATACACAAAAGGTCTTCATTTTAACACTCAATCACACACGTAAAAACAACACACCGGCGAGGAGCGAGCAAGCCAAGTTGCCGTTCACTTGCTTACTAACCGTCCATATGCTTATTAGAAGCCTGCTTGGTCGATTCACCGAGGTGGATAGCTCCCACCGCCAACAGCATGAATGGTGGGGGTGATCGAATAGCAATACGGTGAAATTTGCGCAAGTTGAAGTTTTTTCAGCCTTCCAAAATTACGTTGTTTACTTTTGCCGCAGTGCATTGTGGGATGTGTGAAGTCAATGTCCGGAACTCTATAACCATGAACTTTTGCTTTGAAAAAAAATGTTGATTGCTGTGCTTGCCCCAAACAAATGAAGTACACATGTACCATACAATGTATTTTTAAAGTTGAATACTTTGTTGTATTGTTTTCAGTTGTGTTGGTGTGGACGAAGATGATGCCCCAGATATTGACATATACCATTGTCCAAACTGCGAGAAGACCCACGGCAAATCCACATGTAAGTAGAATATTTTGAAAATGACAATGAAGTATTTTTAAAAATGCTTTGCTTTTGAGAATATTTTAACTGCGATTTAATAGGCATGGGCTGGTTATGAGTTTGAGAGTATACATTTTTCAAATATCATTTTCCATCTTACCATTGGGTGTTAAGTGTGGGGGAGAAAGAGAGAGAGAGAGACACCAAGTCTCAAGCTGAGTCAAAAGCCAAAGAATAAAATTGTGTTTTCAGACAAGTTTTTAATATGGGCAATGAGAGGGCTTGCCTCATGTTTAGCGGGAGGGCCCAGCAACGGAAAAGGCTCAATCCTCTTTGAGCCTGAGGCTGAGATGTAAGGTGCGGTGAGACGAATTAAACATTTGAAAATAATAGATTAAAATAATAGTTAAACTAATACTGTTGGATTTCGATAAGCTTAAGGTGTTGGGGGAGTGGGGGAAGTCAACAGGATGGGTTGTACAAGGGCCGCTGGGACAAAACACCATAACTTCTGTTTTCTTTTCATTGAAATTCAAGAAATTCAGTGCAACCCAGGTCTTAATTTCAGACAGGACATACAGTAAGTGGCTTAAATGAGAGTGTCTTTTTTCGCGCAGCGGGACATTGTTCTGACAATCCTCTCCATAGCAGTGGAAGGAAGTACCATGTTTACTTAAAATTGAACCCAAAAGCAGCAGATACAATGAAAACAGCAGAGGCCCCGAATTTAACCCTGTGGAACACCATACGACAGTAGAGCTGTGCGTGACTCCGACCAACCAAGGCGAACACAATTAGTTCTGCCCGCCAAATAGGACCTAAACCGCTCAAGGTTGCTACTGCTAATGGCCATTTGGTGTTCCAAGTGAGCCAACAGAATATCTTAGTGTTTGATACGCAAGTGTTGCGGTCGCTCCCAGTTCCTGTTTCCGGTGGGTCAAACCATTGGGTGACTTTGGGACGTCTGGGATCCGTCTTAAAGTCACCTAATGGCCAGAAACAGGAACCGGGGGGGCACCGCAACACTTGCGTCGCCAGGAACAGGAACGGAGGGCGACCGCAACACTTGTGTTGTCGGGAACAGGAACGGAGGACGACCGCAACACTTGCATCGCCAGGAACAGAAACGGAGGGCGACCACAGTACTTGTTTTGCCGGAAACAGGAACGGAGGGCGGCCGCAATACTTGCGTCACCGGAAGCAGGAACGAGGGGCAAGGGACCAGGCTTCTGGTCCTGTGGCGTCCAGTCTGGTTTGGATCATTCTGTCAAGTTTTGTGAGGTGGTAGAGTAGAGTAGGCGTCCCCAACCGCCGGTCCGCGGACCGGTACCGGTCCGCAGGGCATTTGGTACCGGGCCGCACAGAAAGAACTTGCCTTAATTCCGTTTTATTTATCGCGTAATACGAAAGATGTTTTATTTTGAAAAATTACCGGGATCCTCCGTTACATCCGTCTGTGTCCAGCTTGACACACGTCAAGCCACGCTTCTCCGTCATGTGACTAATTAGGCTAAAAACAAACGCCGGAGCTCGCAAAACGAGTTTAAAAAACTGCTGGAGCTCGCAAATGACGGCGGCCTTAAAAGTACGTTTGAGACAACTGGATTGAAGTTATGGCTGAATACTCTGAGATCGCCACAATAGCACTGTTGCTGTTTCCGACATCCTACCTGTGTGAGGCAGGGGGTTTTCTGCAGCAACGGCGACTAAAACCACAACATTACGAAGTAGACTGGACATAAACCACACACTTGAGGTGTCGTTGTCTCCTATTACACCGAGATGGGACCTTCTGGTTGCAGAAAATCAAGCTCGGGGCTGTGGTGAGTCGTCATTTTCATGCACTTTGAATTTGCGTCGTATCGTAATTTGAAGGCATTAAACATGACCATAGCGATCAGAGTGTTGCGGCCAGATTCGACACTCCTTGTGTTTATTATTATATTTGGAAAACACTACAGTTTTCATGCAGCTCATACCATATTGTTTTGTTGTATTATTTCCGCCACACCTTAAATGCCGGTCCCTGAAAATATTGTCTGACATAAACCGGTCCGTGGGGCAAAAAAGGTTGGGGACGCCTGGAGTAGAGGACCCCAAAAAGCAGGGAAGTAGGGAGGAGCAGGGTGGACTGAGCAAGAAATATTTAACAAAAATGCAAACAGGAGTACACTAGAAAAAACTAACTCAAATACTCGAACAAAGTCCAGAAAACCACAGGAAACCAAAGTAGCAAAAAAACCTAAGACAGAAAACAAAACATGACAGGATCACACAGACACAACTCACAATGATCCAACCAAGACTGACAGAACTCAGGGAACTAAATACAAGCAAAGTGACAAGACAACGAGAAACACCTGGACAAGACACAAAGGGTTGAGGGAGCTGATTGGTTAAACACAAGGACACCGATGACGAGAACTGGTGGCGACAGAAAGGGCACATGAGGGAACATAATCAAATGTTACCTCAACAAAAACCTAACACCATGTCAACACATAGCAAATAGAGATTTTGGGTGCTAGTCCGAGCTCTAGTTGTAGAAGTATTGTATCTGTGCTTTTTGTAGATTACTTATTTCTATGACTTTGGCAAGCCACAATCATCAAGTATCAAGGGAGCTGTTTTTAGCTTAGTGTGAAGCAATTGTAATGAGAAACAGCACCTCCAAATCTTGCGACCATGTTCCTCAATCCGAAATTGGTGGAGTGCACTGGTCTGGAATTGGCCTGACCCTAGTGGAGGAATTGAAGTATGTTGGGGTCTTGTTCAAGAGTGAAGGAAGAATGGCGTGGGGAGATTGACAGGCGGATTGGCGCATCCTCTGCAGTCATGTGTCGGTCTGTCCTGGTAAAGAAATAGTTGCGCTGAAAGGCAACGCTCTCTACTTACCGGTCAGTCTACGTTCTTACTTTCATCCTTGATCTGTGGGTCATGACAGAAAGAGCAAGATCACAGATACAAGTGGACGAAATGAGTTTCTTCCGCAGGGTATCTGGGCTCTCCCTTAGATATAGGGTGAGAAGATCAAGGAAACAAACCCAATCTGATACCGGCCCATGCCTATGTCAAAGTTATAAGTTGCTTACTTATTCATATCTGGATCCATGATCACATTATTCATGTCTTGCAGAAGTGTCACTGGCCCTCTATTCTCTATTCCTCAAAATGTTCACATCAACGTCTTTCTCCTCACCTAAAAAGTCCTCCATAACTGACTGAGCTCCCCCCCGCCCACACACACACACACACACACACACACACACACACACACATACATATGCTTTATTCTGTTGATGCTAACCCAAGTCTTTTCTCTCTTGTTCTCTGCACTCTCTGAAATATATTCCCAAAAACCGTCCATAACTCTGAATACTTATCTGCGTTAAAACAAACAAACAAACCCCACTAAGGACTCATCTATTCCATACTAATTTCAACCACTTCATAGTCCTTTTTTAAACACTCAATCTGCAAAGTGTCTTTGGGTGTCCTGAAAAGTGCTAAGTCTGTGTAAATGAAGAATAATAGTAATTTACACTATTACTAGTATTTTCAGCCACATCAAAGTGTTGTTGTCAAGAGATGACATAATAATGTCATGTAGTATCTTGAGTATTGCACGTAGTTCATTTTAGTGCGGCAATAGGCCTTACCGTCATTGATGGTATTGTTTTTTTTTTGTCTTAAGTAAAAAGGAAAAAGCATTGGAACAAACAGGACTGTTGGCAAAGCACAGATGTCCGAGCTGTACAGAATGGCAGTCAAGTTTTCATAAAGGAGCTCCGTAGTAGAACATTTCCAAGGTAAGCATCTTTGACATATGCAAATTGTAAATTCTTGAATCTCAGATAAAAAGTTTGCCACTAGTTTTCCTTGGCTTCTGTTTCAAACTAGTTATGTGATGATAATCAATGCAGTGTCAATTCTTCAACAATATGATTATGAGGGATGTAATGGTACATCAACCCATCAAATGTTATTTATATAGCACTTTTCATCCATAAAAGTACAACTTAAAGTGCTGATGTATTTTTGTTCCGGAAGATTCGATACAAAGGTGTACAGACTGTCGCAAGTTATCATATGGAATATGTATTACATAAGGGACTGAGAAGAAGACTAAGAAATAATATTGTAAACTAATGCAGCGCAGCTACATCTCAAACTGGATCTCATGGCTTAACAATATGCTTTTGGCTATTTGTCAAAACCAGTTTACTCTGAATAGGGGTGTTCACACGGCAACTTTTACTCCGGTGTAGCACCGGGGCTGCCCCCCATAGAGCGTTCACTCGTACAAAGTTATACCGGTGTAGCCCCTGAAAACAGCTTAAACTGGAGCAAATTCAACCCTACTCAGAAGGTGATTTAAAAATTTACTCCGGAGTAAATGCTAGTTTGTGGGGCAGCACCGATGGGACGTGTGGACACTACAGGGGTAGACTCGCTACGCGCGAGAAGAGTTGATTACATACAGGTTTTGAATGCGTTGCTTTCATGCTCTGTTGTACTTCTGCTATCTCTCTCTCATCCTTTTAACGGTGTCTCAGAGACCACAGTGTTGATTTGTCTGGAGAAGTATAAACCATGGTTTTTCGATATGTCACAAACATGGTGGGGAAAAGGAAGTACACTTTACGCATGCGCATGTTTTATTTATCGTATTGCACGGCTGCAGAAACTGCCGAGTGAACGCAAGTGTGGCTGCACCGGGGTTAACACGGTTCTCTTTAGTAAGCAGCTTTATACGTGTGAACGCTCCACAAGATTTACACCGGTGTAAGATATATCGCAACAAAATACATCGGTGCAGCACCGATGCAAATGTGTGCTGTGTGAACACCCCTAATGATGACAAACTAAGAAAAGCAGTATATGCACATGGTGCTCGTTTTTTTTTTTTTTTTTTAATCATAAGGTCACACTTGTCTGCATCCTTAATTTTCTAAAAAGAAGACACTATTAATGTTGCATTTTTCTTAAGCTGTTGTACATTGTTGAATAATTTTTGAGAACGTTTCATTCATTTGAGAATTTACCACTATCAGCGTTTTCCAGGTTTTTATTTTAAATGTCACTAAATCCATTTCAAAAGCACTTTTCTCTTTATTTCTTTTTTTCCCCCCTGAATAAACCAAACGGTGACCTTTTTACAACCCATAGGGTTATATGGTTTTACACTTAAAGGCCAAGTGTGAAGTAATTTCATGAAATGCCAAATAGGGTCACAATGAAAGTACTTAAACGTTGTCCACCAAATAAAGCATGAACAAATAATTTATATGTTGTATATTTGACAAAATAATCGATTTTCCGAAGTTCCAGCCCGAAAGGGGCAGAACCCGGAAGTGATACGTCACATGGAGAACAGCGATGGCAGAGCTCCATATGGCAGACATGCAAAGCATTTCAAACAATGATTCAAACAGCGATACAAGCAATCGATCGAGCGCAAGTGAGGATATCCAAGTTTTTGAAGAGTTGGAAGAAGAAGAGGAGGTTGGAATTTTACATGTTGGACCTTACATATATGAGCCAGACGCTAATCAGGATGCAAACAATGTGCCCAGACGACCTGACATGGAATGGAGACAAGACCAATCGAGATCACAAGATTGGTAAGATATAGGCTGGTGTTATTTTTATGATTTGAAGATGCAGGCATGTGCACATAATTTTATGTTTTTGTCTATCTGATGACATTGTTTAAAAAAATAATCAGACTTCATGTTCAAGCAGTTAGCCTACTCGGTACGTGAGTATTCTTTGCAAATCATTTTTTGACTTGTACTTGAGAGATTTTTGTAATGACTTTTAACTTTTGTATGGTATTCCATCCATATACTTGTATATTTTAAATCAAATGTTTTCATAAACAACAGAATTATTGATTGATGGGTATAGAATCAGAATCAGTATCGTCTTTATTGGCCAAGTATGTAGAAGACACAAGGAATTTGTCTCCGGTATAACACGCTGCATTAGTATCATCAGAAACAAGGACATGACAAATAATTATGGACAAATAAGTATGGCAGGACATTCTGTAATGTAAGTGAACCGTAGTGCAGTGGTACCACCCAGTGACAACTGTGAGCGATACGCTTGTTCAATAAAATTAATGCTCAT